CTACTCCTGGTTAATTTGAATTTAATGGACTACTAAAACCTAAACTAAAGCTGAGTTAATTCTCTTCTCCCTCAAAACCCCTTCCCTTCATGTTTCATGTTGACTTTTTTTATTAGTGTGTATTAATTGTACAAAATAGTGGGTTTCATTCATTATGACATTTTCATAAATGTACATAGGGTACTTTAAACATATTTACCTCACCTGTATTACCTACACATTCCCTAATAGTTCCCCTTTCTACTTTCATGTCCCCTCTTTTTTTTTTTTTAAGTTTTGGGGCTGTTTCAGTCTCCTCCTAATCACACAGGCAGAGCCTATTGAGCTCTTTGCTTCATTTTGTCCTCCATCTCCAGTGGTCACCAACCCCTGGAGATTTAGCCTTCTGAGCATGTTTTCCATCTGTCCTCCATTTATATCTCACTGTGATTGTCAAGGATTTCAAGACAAAAATAGGGTGTGCATAAGTGTATACAGAAATAGATTGACCTTGGGGAATTGGCTATTTGGTGGTTAAGACTGGCAAGTCCAAAGTCCACAGAGTGTCCCCAGGCCAGAAACTCAGGAATAGGCTGTGCTGCAATTCAAATCTGAAGGCTTTGTGCTGGCAGAATTTCTTCTTGCTGGGGGATGGGAGATTGTTGGGGTCAGTATTTGTTCCATTCAGGCCTTCATCTGATTAAGTGAGGCCCACCCATATTATATAGAGCCAGTGTGGTTCATTCAAAGTTCACAGATTTAAACATTAATCTCATCCAAAACTTCCTCACAAAAGCATACAGAATGTGTGATTGTGTCTCTGAGCACTATTACCCAGCTAAGTTGACACAAATTAATCATCACACTCAGTGAAATTGCTACATCAAGTACACTCATAAACATGACAGTACTCTCCACTGGACATTGTATTTCAATTCCTCCCTACTTCAAGCCATACTACTTAACAACGTTGACTTAAATTATGTTAGTATAGTGCCACTGGCTCAGTCAATTCGCACAGAGTTCCTAATCATGTCATTCAAAGACTCACTTATGTAGAACCATTTAAATTTTAAGCATCTTACATGTTGCTATGGACATGTAACTTGCTGTCACCTGACAGTCCAACTGTCTCCATGTAAAAGCCCCTGATGTTCTCTGAATCAGCAAACCTCCACTCCCCATTTCCTCAGGCTGTAATTCACCCTGTATTTACAATAACCATGTCCTAATCTGCCTCTTTACCTTGGACACTTCAACTGAAAGAGGAAAAGAAATTAGTAAGTAATGCCTGGTCATTTAATATGAAAGGCTTATCCTGAGAGAGGTTTCTCCTATTTAGCTTAACTATTTTTTCCCTGAAAATAAACATTGCAACTGAAATTGAATCCTATCCCATTCTCTTCCTCCTCAGAGGAAACTATATAACATATCATATGTTTATGTAACTCTTCATAGTTATATGAGCAAAATAGTATTAATTCCCATTCTTTTAAATTTATTTAGATGTCAAAATGTTCACCATCTTCTGTCTACATATAAACCCTACTCATTTGAGTTAACTGTTCTAATGTACCTGCAGCATAAACAATCATAGCATTGTTTCATTCCAATAAATTGGGGTGGTAGATGCTAAGATTTGGATATGGTTTGCTGTGGCCCCTGAGGGTTCATGTTTGGAAGCTTGGGCCTCAGGGTAGTGATGCTGGGAGGTGATGAGACTATTAGCAGATGGAGCCTAGTGTGTTCTGTACAACACCAGTGTGACACATCTCTATTTAGACCTTCACTTACCTTTTTCAAAATATTTTATAGTACTCCACATGCAAGTCTCGTGTATCTGCAAATATATTTCCAGATAACATGAGTTTTCCTGTACTATTTCTTGATATTATATTTTCCCAGTACATGAGGACTATTTAATTTTGTATATTGTTCTTATGTCCAGTAATCTTGTCACAGTGTGTCTTGTCAGTGCTAATATGTAGATTCTCTTGGAGTTTTGACATAGACCGTCATATTTCATATAAGGGAAATTTTTCCTTTTTTCTCTCCAGTCCTGATACCCTGAAAATTTTTCCTGTTCATTGACTAGCATATTCAGTACATTTGAGGAATGTGGATGATAATCTGTATTTATGTTGTTAATATCTCTAGGGAATGCCTTTAAAATCAGGTGCTGAAGGTAATGAAAGAGCCCTTTATTTATTTAAGGAGTTCTCATCTGTTCCTAGTTTTCTATGAGTTGGTGTATTTTAAGGTGAGGGCATGTACCACATAACATGGATTCAATAATGTATCTTGAATTTATAAATGAAAAGGCTTCATGTGTGCCTTCCATTTCACTATACCTCTGTATTTTTAATATCTATGCTTATAATATATGCCAGGGATTCATAAGCTTTTTATTCTGAGGACCTCTAACTATTAAAATTCACTGAAAATCTTAGTGAGCTTTTATCTTATGGCTTATATCTATCAATACCTATTGGTTTAAAATAAAAATTGGTAAATATTTTGAATGTACCTGTTGTTATCTTTGAATGGTATGGCATTGCAGTATGTCATCACCCTCTAGACCACTGCACTGGACACTGTGCTCATCCTGGATGGAGAAGGAAAACCACATGGACTTGGTGTTACTGTGAAAAAAGTCTTGGCCTCACAGACTCCTAAAAGCGTCTCTGGCCCCAGAAAGCACCTGGACCATATGGCGAGGACTGATTCTCTGGCTGTGATATTTGTAAACTTTTATTTTCATAGTTGTCATTTCCTGCTCCTTGAATCATCCCATGGAAGCATGACTGTGAATGGTTACACAATGTTCCACTCCTAGTATGTCATGCCGTAGCCAGTCTTCCTCCTGATGCCACATGCAAGTTGACTCCTGTAGGTCGTCTGCAGTGAATATCCTGCTGTGTGTACCACCCCTGTGATAAACTCCTGAGTGCAGAGTTACTGGAGTATTCAACCTTGAAGCACTTTTTCCTGATCAGACCAAAGACTCCTCTTTTGAGGATTATACCAGGAAGTCTTAAAGTTAACAATATTGATTATTTTGCAGTAATACATCTGCTTAAGAGATGAGAAATTATGGATATAGGTATTTTTGTCTAATAACAGTGTCTTAAAATAAGTTTATAAGAGTATATTTTTAGTATGTTTGATGTTTGTGAATTCAGTAGCCATCCATATATAAAAAGATGCTAAACAGTTGACTAAATCATAACCTTCATCTTCAAAACAATAAGAATTCACATTTACTGAACTTTTGCTTCATCTCAGATGCAATACTAAGCCCTTTATAAAAGTGATGTCATTAACTGGAAGACTCTAGCAGGTGGGTACAGTGAACCCTAATGTACAGGAGTGAGTGGCCAGAGTATGGAGAGTCCACACTCTCAGCCCTGAGCTCAGACCAAAGGTCTGATGAAGTGATGAAAGTTCTAAGCTATAAAACAGGGTTCTTGCAGATGATAAAATACTCGGAGAAGTTGGCTACCTTTCCAAATTAGTAAATGTGGCCCCAGGCTCAGACATACTGCCACAGGCAGGGTTCTGTCAGAACGGCTGCTGCTACCAAGAGGCAGTGGCAAGGAGTCACTCCTTTCAAACAATTACTAAGGTTTTTCTTCCTGTGATTTAGACACCAGGCCTGGAGGGCAGACAGTAGGGTAGACTTTGTGCCCCTCAGGCTCTCCTACCAGCACCCTCTTACAACAGGGAGCAGCCCTTCAGCCCAGGAGCTGTTCTCTTGTCTGTGTCCTATGTCTGACTCATGTTCTTTACCTCTCTCCCCAACCCCTTTCCACTATTGGGTTACACTCCTTTTTTCCTGCATCTCATTTTCCAACCAGGCTATCTGGGCAGTCTGGTTCTAAGTCTTGGTTTCTGCTCTGGCTCTTTCCTCCTTGGCAGGGTTTGATGCCCACTGTGGGTACCCACTGGCACTGAAGGTGGGTTCCTGGAAGCCAATCAGATTCAACCTGGCAGTTGTGTACATCAAGCCATAACTTGGAAAGGTCAGCATGTCCTGGACTTGATCTCCATGTAGGATACATTATACTTCACTTGTCTGGCAGATACTTTTAGTCTTAGTCCAACTTTTGGAAAGAACGGAATTTTGGAAATATTTCTTAACTTTCAACATTCCTAGGCTGATCCTCTGGTGAACCCATGATTTCCCAGCTGCTTACAGTAAGCAGCAGTGATTCTGGGCATTTGGTTGGGCTCTTCCCAAAAGCTCTTGACCCCTGCAGCACCAGCAGGTGATCTCTGGACCCGAGCCATGTCCTGGCCGTGTTCCTGTTCCTGGATTCTTAACATGTGATGCACTTTCTTTCTTTTTATATCCTATTCCTTTTTGATAAAATGTACTGGTAGAGACTGTGGAAATGAAACAGTCTAGTTTCCAAACATGTTGAGAGCACTTTAAGAGTTCAAAGGCATGAGACACCTGCCCTGGGGATCCTGTCCCTCTGTCCCCCTCCTCCCCAGAAGCACTTTTTCCTGATCAATAATACCTCTGTATTTTTAATATCTATGCTTATGATATATGCCAGGTACTCTAGGGACAGGAAGGAAGCAGCAAATACCTGGCTCGGTCCCTCCCATTCCTGGCGGGGGCGGGGAATAGTCTGGCACTCCTGGCGCTGGTCGCGCGCAACCCAAAGATTGCGGGTGGAAAGGAGGAGGGCCCGGAGCGTGAGGGGGCGGGGACACCGGGTGAGATGTGAGGAGGCGGGGATGGCGGGCGGGTGACACCACCTGGCGGGAGGCAAGGGGCGGGGACACCGGGATGGGGCGGCGCGGGCCAGGAGCCGGGAGGAGCCGGCAGTAGGGTGATTCACCAACCCAAGAGGACTCTGGTTCGCCCCAACTCGGGACCTAGGCGACTGAGCCCTGGGGCGAGGCGAGTCTCCCCACCCCATACGGACTTCGGCATTGGCCCGGGACTGACCGGCGCCTAGACAGGAGCGGTCTCCGCGGGACGCCTGCACGGCGGTCTGGGCTCGGGGAGGATGCGCGCCCTGCCTGCCCGAGATGCAGCCCCCAGCGAGCGGCCGCTGGCTCAGGACCCCAAGGCAGACCCGGAGCGGCCATTGGCTCGGCCCGCGCGCAGGAGCGCGGTGGAAAGGTTGGCGGCAGACCGCGCCAAGTACGTTCGCAGTCCGCCTGGGTCCCACACGGGCCCGGCCTCGGAGGACGGCGGCCTCGGAGCTCCTGCGGAGCAGCACAGCCATCTGGCTTCTCCGATCCGCGCCCCCGCTCCAGTGGCACGGAGGGCTGTCGCGCGGAAGCCGCTGAGGCCCGACTCGCTGGTCATCTACCGGCAGAAATGCGAGTTTGTCCGAGCACCCGGCGCAGACGGCTCCAGGGCGAGCCTGGTGAAGAAGCTCTTCCAGAGTACTGGCAAGGACAAGGCGCCCCTCGAGACGTCCCGGGTTGGGGACACGGAGATCGCGCGGCCCAAGCACGGCCCGGCGGTGGCAGCACCTCCAGCCCCTGCCGCGCCCCGAGTTCCTGCTGCGCCCCCAGTCGCTGCCGCGTCCCCTACTCCTGCCGTGCCCCCAGCCCCGGCCGAGTCCCTAGCGCCTCAGACTTCGTCTCGGATCTTGACAGTGCCCACAGTGGTCTCGGCTACACGCACGGGCCTAGAGCTGCGGGTGGCCAGGCGCGGGGGTCTGCATCGTTCGCGGTCAGACCTCAGTTCATTATACTCCATGGCCAAGGCCGAGTTTGACACCTTCTTCCAGTACTGCGGACTGGACCCTGAGGTGGTGGAGGCTCTTGGGAGGGAGAACTTCTCCGTCGGGTCCGATCGTGTCGCCCTCAAGGTGCGCAGCGTGAGCGTGGCCACCTCTGACAGTGGGTTCTCCCGGCACAGCGAGGATGGGTTGCAGGAGGAAGAGCTCATGGAGCAGGTGCCCAGCACCACCTCTGTAGTGGAGAGGAATGCCCGCATCATCAAGTGGCTGTACACCTGTAAGAAGGCCAAGGAGACCCCCAGCCAGGAGCTGCAGGGTCCAGCGTGACTAATTGAACCTGGGGAGAATAAGACCCAAGGTGAGTATCCAGAAAGCTTAGGGAGGGGCATGTGTGCAGGTGTGGGCTTGGTGAGTATAGCCAAACTGGGGGGTGGCCAGTCATAGCTGATGCTTTGAATTCAGCCCCTACAGTTTGAGGGGACCCAAGAGATGGAGATGCAGAGACTCCTGGGTAGTCACCACAGCCTGAGCAAAAGAACCATGGGTTCAGTTGTCTTCAAGTCCAAATTCTTTTCACTGTGCAACATCTGACTGCTTGGATAGGCCAATAAGTTAACGCCATCCCATCTGGCTTATTACTGTGAAAACAGGAGAATTTAGAATTATAAGATGCTGTCAACATAAAATATTACTCCCCTGCTGTTAATTGTTTCTCACATTGAAATTAGTTTCAGAGCCCTAGTGCATGCATACAGCTGGACAAAGTCTCTATAGACCTTCCTGAGGTCTCCTGTTCATCTGCAGTCCTAGATAGGCACTGCTATTGCTCCTCCAGCAGCAAGGAAGGCTTCAGGCACTTTAAAGTACCAATGGCTCTCTATGGAGTCTTGACAGAAGTTTGGCATTCCTTAAGCAAGAAAAGATCTTTATTTGGATAGATTTTCTTTAAACTATTTGAACACTTTAATTTTTTTGAATTGGGGAACTGGACTAGATAGCAGCAGACTCTAAATGACTATGGTTCTGGTAACTAAAGTATCGCAGCTCTGAACTGTGTGAATCTCTGATGATAATATGGAGTAAACTTCCCTTTCAACACCCGGTAGCATAGAGCTGACCTCAGGCTCTTCTGTGAGATGAGTGTTTCACTGAGGAGCTAAACGTGACCATGCTCAAGCACCCTCTACTCCATGCTTTTGGGGTATTTGGGGAGTAGTGAAGAGGAAGTATCTTTTCAGGGTGTTCTTTGAGAACCAAGGATTTAAACATCTTCTTTTATCTCACCCTTTAATAACACTTTGCTATAAAAATGTTTTAAAAATTATTTTGTCTGCCCTTGAGCTACCAATGGAAGCTGTAGTATCAATGTGTAGATTTGTGTGTGTGTGTGTTGTATGCCACAGAGATGCTTGTACTCAGCTAAACTGTGTTTCAGGATGATATAAAGCTCCAAGAACTTCAGAGTGGCCTTACTACAGATGTGAAAATAGCAAGGAGTGGTGAAATCATCATTTTCCTTGAATCCAGAAGGTTTATGACTTCTGTTCTTTATTGTAATTTATTAAAGATTGCATTTTACAGTAGCCAAAGTCCCCAAAGAATGTATATAGGCAGTCAAAATTAAAGGAAAAAACCAGCACATTAATTTGTATTTTCACAGATTGTCTTTGGATTTGAGGTATGTGAATGCTGACTGTCAGGATGCCACTGTGGCATGGAGGAGGAGGACAGATATGGAGAGTAAGTGTGGTTCTGAAGGTGGTTTGGCAGAGAGAGCAGGAAGCTATAAAGGGCCTGTCTCCTGTGCACATGTGATTCCTATACCTTAGGCTAAGCTTCCTTTGTCTATAAAATGAAGGGAGATAAGCAGATTGTATCTAGCCTCTTTATTTTCAGTGTAGTTAATACTCTGTGTTGTATATGTTCTGAGATTGGAACCTGAAAAAGGAAAACCTGGGGGGAGGCATAACAGAACAACTCAGTTGCCTATTGGACTGTTGAACAAGGAAATTTATGAATAAGTTACCTTTGGTGGCCATTAGGTAGAATTGGGGCTGTAAATATTGGTGAGGTTAAGAGACACATAAAACCAAGCTGAAATAAACCTGATAACATAAAAATAAAAGCAGCCCCTTTGATTCCTCCAGTTCTCCAATGTCGAGCTAGTAATCTGAATGACAATTTAGGATCTAGAATAGAGTGACCTATTCAAAGTCCTTTTAGGTTTGAACACAGGAAAAACATAGCTTGTGAGCTTGTGAGAGTTTTCACCTTGGTACAAAGAGAAGTTGTTGAAAGAAGAGGGAAAGTGAGTAGGTGTGGGAAAGTGCCAAGGGAGAATGGAGGGCAGGTTCATTGGCTGCCTTACCCTAGTTCTCCCTCCAGTTTCATGCTGCTTGTTCCAAGCGAGGGATATGTCACCTGTCTTGTAAGCCTTGTTGCTCAGAGTAGGGTGTAGTCACTCAGAACCTGCCCTGGTTCCTTATGGTGTTGGCAGTTACCAGAACGATGTATTTCACAAACTTATTCCCTAGACCCCAAGGCAGTCTGCACTTTTAGAAACTTTAATGTTGTCTGGAGGTTGTGAGAAAGAAGTATTTCCTGGGTGTTTTCCAGCTCATTGGGTTGGTATCTGCATGGGACCACAGCCCCCTTCACTACTTGCAAACACTTGTGTCCTCTGAAAAGAGCCAGTCTAAAAGGTCAGGACCCAAGGCCCACAGCTGCTGGCACAGGAGCCACTGGTTCTGGGACCATCCATACTCCTGCAAGGTGTGAAAGCTCTACTTAATCTCTAGCTTACCAAGACATCCGTGTTGGGATGCCCTGGTTCCTTATGGTGTTGGCAGTTACCAGAATGATATATTTCACAAACTTATTCCCTAGACCCCAAGGCACATAGTTCTTTTCCCACTTGGTACTCCTGGAGTTACTCTGGGGAGCTCTGCAGTTGTCACCAGGAGCACAGTGTAAGTAAAGAAGTGGCTGAAGGACTGTAAGTCCACCTTTCCTTTCCTCCTGGCCAGCACCTGGGCTTTTTGGTGAAACTAGTGTTTAGAAAGGCGAATCTGTTTGCCCTTAGGTGTTTGGTTGAACTACCCAACTTGTTTTTTGTTTTGTTGTCCAGCCCTAGGGCAGTTAGCACTGGCGTTTTCAGTATTCAAAACTGTCTTGACTGCCCTATGGGTACTTAAAGGCAAAAGGAATGTCAAAAGTCCAGGAAAAGGCCTTCAGGGAAAGGAGATTTGTTAGGCAGAGATACCAGATGTTAGCTCCCTTTAATAAACCTACTGACTTCTTTTCAAAATTTAAAACTTAAAATGGAGCTATTTTGAAATGCAGAGTTATCACAAAAACAAAGACAACAGGTGTGGAACTCTGTAGCACAGCTGCTATTGCAGACAGGAGCTGAGTTCTGGTTCTTTGCTCTTTACTATTCAGGAAGCAAACCTTCCCTGCACAACCTTGGGTCCATTTGTGCAGCATGCCCTAACAACACACAATTTCTGCTTTTCCAGGAATAAAGCACTCTACTGACAAGGCTTATACGATTTCAAAAGATTGTAAAGCTGTGGAGGAGATTTGAGGCAGACGCTGCACACTGCTGACCACTGCTAACAGCGGAAGCATGAGATGTTGTCCTGGTTGAAGTGCGTCTACCCCTGTTCACATCGGGCAGCTGCACAGAGAGCTGTTTGGAAACAGCATGTTTTTGACTGACTTGCTGACAGATACTGTGACACATTCTCACAAATCTAAGTTGACTTTTTCAAAGAAAGGAACAAAACAATGAAAACCAAACATCAATGCCATGGTATTTTCTCAGTTCACTAACTTTTCATCACTTAAAGTTCTTTAACCATCAGAAGATATGCTCCTTAAATTCTTTGGGTAACAGAGTCACACATTCACACACATCACGAGCAAATCCCAATTTCCAACAGCACTATAGTGTGACCTGCATTTATTTCCCAAACTTTATGACTAATTATCTTATTTAATGATTCAGAGAGCACATTCAAAACCACTTGAGGACCACAAGGTTATTTCATTAATGCCACTCCCTGCTGGGTTGTATGTGAAAGTACCCATTGAAAGATACATGAGAGTTGAGATTTTGTTAGGTGAAGTCCTTTAGTGTACCTGCAGGGTTTCTTGAGTCCTGTGCATTGCGTAGCAGCATTCCCAGTTGGAGTATGCCCCAAAGTGCCCTCTGTCCCATCTTCCAAAAAGATAGAAGCATGCTTCACTCCTCTGTGTGAGGAGTGCTCTTCCCTGGACTGGGTCTGATTTGCTCCATTCCATGGAATCACCCAGATTTAGGATAGGTTTACTTTTCTCTGCAGAGGGTGTTATAAAGCAAGAGGCACCCCAGGAACTGTGAGACTGGAATTCCAGTGTGGGTAACAAGGTGCTGGGACCTGGCTCTGAACTTGCCTGTGATACACACAGTAAAGGTATTTCAGGTTCAGAAATTTCTGAGAGAAATTTTGCATGGATGATAATCCAAAGAAAATTTGTTATGCAGTCCACTCGTGCAAAGCTTACATTTTGTCAAAATATTTCTTTTCAAGGACAAAATTATTTAAGTGAAGGATATGGGAAAATTGGCTTCTCAATGATAAAGTATATAATATTCATGTATTAGTTTTAAAATGTGTTCTGTATTTGTAACTGTTTTACTTGAGAGGAGGTCTCTGAGTTACATAAATACTTATTTTTATAGTTGCTAGTCTTCAAATAGCTTTCCTTTATTTCATATGGCTTTCTTTTTTCAGTTTTAAATCATTTTCTCCTTTGTTATGTTTTTGTGTATATTGTTTAATTGAACTATCTTTTGTATGCAAGTGGAATGCTTGCCACTCTGCAAAGTGTTCAATACTGTGGTGATTGAACAAGTCCCAAGTCCCAAGTGAAAGTTTTTGGGACTTGGTTGACTGACAGATGTGCCTCCCTCACTATATCAAGAGTTCAGGTTCCCTGCTGGAGAAAGTGTGTTCATAGTTGCTCTGCAAGTGCTGCTGTCTTGCTGGGCACTATACTGCACTTAGTTTAAAAAAGATATCAAAGATGAGAACAATTTTTAAAGGTTCATTTCATATGCCAAATTCCTTTATTTTTAGATGTCCCATTAATTTTATATATGAATGCTTTGAGTAAAAACTTTCATGTTTTTGCAGTGATATAATGGGGGTGAACTTCAGCCTGGGTCATTCTCACTATCCTAATAGATGAAAAATAGAAAAAAACAAATTCCTTTCCACTTGATTGCCAAACCACCGAGGTCTCCAGAATCATTTATAGAACTCTCAGTGGTGGTATGTGGA